ATGGAACCACAAATGACCCCCAATAGCCAAAGCAATCCTGAGAAAAAAGAACAAAGCCAAAGGTGTCACACTACCCGACTTCAAATTATACTACAGAGCAACGATAATAAAAAAAGCATGGTATTGGCAGAGAATAGACACACAGACCAATAGAACAGAATTGAGAACCCAGAAATAAAACTACATGTATATGGGCAAATAATTTTTGACAAAGGAGCCAAAAACACACAATGGAGAAAAGAAAGCCTCTTCAATAAATGGTGCTGCTGGGAAAATTGTAAAGTCACATACAAAAGAATGAAAGTAGATTATAGTTTGTCCCCATGTACAAAAATTAATTAAAAACGGATTACAGATCTAAATATAAGATCTGAAACAATAACTTACATAGAATAAAACATAAGTACTAACTTTATGCACCTTGGTCTTAGACATTTTATGAATTTGACCCCAAATGCAAGGGAAATAAAGGCTCAAATAAATGAATAGGACTGTATCAAACTAAAAAGCTTCCCCGCAGCAAAAGAAACCGCCAACAAAACATGTTGCTTTGAAGAGCTGTGTCAGTTTACTTTTAAAGAGTGGATGTTTAAACAACAGCACAAAGGCGCCCCCCGCCCAGTCCCCCCCCTCCACCCCGCCCCCCGCCGCCCCGCCGCCCGCCACGTTGTGGCTGGAATCTTGCTGCAGGCGCTCAGCAAGGTTGCAGCCCTGGATGGCTAGTGCATGTGGCGCCATCTTGTGGTAACAGCTTGAATTGAGTTTATAAATCACTTCCATGGGCAGTTATGGAAATGATGCCCTTATTTTTAAAAAACATTTATTTATTGATTTTAGAGAGAAAGATAGGAAGGAGGAAGGGAGGATGGAGAGAAAGAGACACCAGTTTTTTTGTTCCACTTATTTATTCGTTCACTGGTTGATTCTTATATGTGCCCTGACGGGATCAAACCAGAAACTTTGGCGTATCAGGCCAAGGGACTGATGTCCTTCTTGATGACCTAAAAAAGAGATGATATTCCTTTCATTTCAACTTTTTTTAATAATATGGGAAACTCTGTTTCAAGCATTTTGCTGTTTCAAATCCACACACTTTAACTCAGTATGAAACGAGACTACTGTATCTCAAATCTGGATCCATGTAGGTTAAGTCCAGTGCTGAAGGTAAGTGTGGACTTGGCCTGAAACATCTTTGGTAGTGGATCCAGGTGGCACAATGTTCTGGCTGTGTGATATTTGGCCTCTCTGGACCTATGTTTATTTCTGCACAATAGGCTTCACAGAGACTTCTACCTGCAAGAACATTTAACAAGGTCAAGTATAGCTCCTAGCACTGTGCCTGATAAGTGAGAGTTCTTCAATAAAGGTTAAGAGATTATTACTGTTCAACTTTTTGTAAGTAGACAAGTTCAGAGTTAAAGTAAAAATCACCCCAGTACAGAACTTTAACTTTCCTAACCAAAACCACAGTCAGTCAAGTATTTCTTGACCCCTAAGTCCGAGCTGTGTGCCGGGCATTGTTCTGGGGGCTGGCAAGGCAGTGGTGCCCAAGATAAATTTGCCTCCGGGGCAAATTTATATTCTGGTTTAAGGGAAGACAATTACAAAATAAACAAAAAATTCTTTAGTGTTAAGTGCTAGGTAGGGAATTAAAAAAGTATAAAGAGATAGTGACAACCTGGCTGGTTTGGATTTGGGGTAGCCACGAAAAGTCTCTCCAAAGAGATGAGTTTTGAACTGAGTTTTGAAAGACAAGGAGACAGTCATGCAAAAATCAGAGTCGGGGTGAACAGTCCAGGCAAAAGGAACAGCATGAGCAAAGCCTTAAGGTAAGAATAAAGTTGTCTTTTCGGAGGGGCTAGAGGAGAGGTCAGTGTGCTTGTGGTGCAAGGGGCAGCCCATGCAGGGCCCTGAAGCCCGCGGTGAGGTCTTTAGCTTTTATTCTGCATGGGATGGGAAGCCATCTGTGTGTTTGAGCAGATCAATAAGGTGTTCAATTTTTAAAAGGATTTTATTTATTTTATTTACTTTTAGACAGAGGGGTAGAGAGGGAGAGAAACATCAATATGTGGTTGCTTCTCATGTGCCCCCTACTGGGGACCTGGCCCGCAACCCAGGCATGTGCCCTGACTGGGTATCAAACCGGCAACCCTTCGGTTTGCAGGCCAGCGCTCAATCCACTGAGCCACACCATTCACGGCAGGTGTTCAATTTCTTAAAATTATATTTTATTGATTATAGTATATTACAGTTGTCCCAATTTTTCCCCCTTTGCCCATCTCCACCCAGCATCTCCCACTCCCTCAGGCAATCCCCAGACCATTGTTCATGTCCATGGGTCATGCATATGTTATTTGGCTACTGTTTCCTATACTGTACTTTACATCCCCATGGCTATCCTGTAATCACTTATTTGTACTTCTTAGTCACCTCACCTCTTCACCCTTTCCCCCACAACCCCTCCCATCTGGCAACCATCAGGCATTCAATCTTAATGAGTGCAGACAAAATTTCATTCTAAGGTCTGCCCCAAAGTGCATTAGCTTAGCACAACTGGAATGTTTTCAGAATCTCCTATGTGTTTAAAAATTGAATGTACATGGTGTCTTCTAGTATAATTTTTGAAAGAGAAACATAATTCATAAAAAGAAAATTGGAACCCACATTTACAGAATCCCTGAGGCTTATCTGTACTTCTGCCAAACACTTAAAATGACTCTGAAAGGATCTTCCTAACACAGTAGCCTCTAGGGAGGGGCTTTGTAACTTCTGGCTGGGGTGTGAAAGATATTTTAACGTTTCTTATAACATGAGAAATACTTTTAAATAAAAACTCTTTCTTAATGGTGCCAGGCTTCTTTGAGAATTTGATCAGTGCTATTGACATTCTCCCCTGAAACAGCTCTGTGTAGGACGAAGAAAGGGGGAATTCTCATTCCTTCTGCTTTCATCTCCTGATCGCACAAGTGGGAGAGAGGATCCACCCCTTATGGCCACCCCCACCACTGCCAGGGATAGACCCCCAGAGCTCCTGGAGATGAGAAGCCTGCCCACTTGGGGACCTTCAGAGCTGGTTCTTGCAGCTTGTCCAATCACCACTGGAGCCCTATCTCCACGAGAAGAGCTGAAATGGACTCCATGGGTTGATGTCTGCTCCCTGGGGACATAAAGGGGCTTTGAGGAGATATCGTCTCCATCCCTCAGGGCAGGATCCTTAAATCATTTTTTTTTTTTCTGGATCAAGAGTCCTTTGAGCAGACTTCAGATGAAGAGTTACCAGCCCTCGTCCCCAGAAAAATGCTTGTGCAGCCCATATTTATAGTCATGGGAGGGGAGTTCATAGAATAGATTAGAGGGTAGAGAACAATTTGGGGTTTTAGGGAGTTTTCTCCTCAACCAGTCTTGATGTGGAAATTGAGAGACAGGCCTAGAACGATAGTTAAGTGATTTACGGAGGTGACACAGGGGACAAGGGTAGGGCCAATACTTCCCCTTGTTCTGCATAATATTGATATAGGTGCAAAGCACAGGTTCTTGGATCACACTGCCAGGGTCCAACTCCTACCTCCACCCCTAACTTGTTCTGGGACCGGGACTGCTGCACTAACCCTGAAGATCAGGTTGGCAGCTGCAGGACGGCACCGGCAGGACTGCGTTAAGACCAGCACCTAGCCCATAACAATTGCTAAATAAATTTTATTGATATTTTGCCACAAGGAAAGGTAGGCTCAGTTATCTTACCAAGAACATAGTGATCTTCGTTATCGTGACAAGAACATAGTGATGGCATGATTATAATTAGGGCCTGTCCATCTCCAAAGCCAGTAAATGCTGTTCACCTCCAGACTAGTGTTGTTCAAACTGCAAGTTATGACCCACTTGTGGGTCAGTAAATCAGTTCCACAGGGTCTCATACAGCACTGAAAAAAAAAATTAAGTATCAGAGTGCATCACACACAAAGGTAAACAGCATTCGGTGACTTTTGTGTCATTATACGGTAAGTACACATATGTGTGTACTAGGCCTTAAAACAGTTTGAAAGCCATTATCTTTGACTACTAGGAGGACCCCAAGGAGTTTATACTCAAGCACACTGGAGGTTTCAGTGAGATAATCCACCTGTGCCCTAGGAGGGGTAGGGATTTGAGTTGTCCAGGAAGACTTAGAGGTAGAGGAACGGGTCGTGAACTGCTCAGCATGCAGAGGAAGAAGATGATCAAGATGTGCACAAAACTCTTTTTCTGCAGGATGATTTTAAGAACTTTGTAGGCCCAAGTTAGCTCATAAAAAAGTTATATCCCCTATTTAATTGCATATATGGTGAGCAGGTAAGAACAGTATTTTGGAGTCATAGAATGTCTAATTGATATAAATTGTTCTGTTTACATAAAATAGTCTAATAGCCCAGTTACGCAGGTATGACTGTTTCCATTGGGCAGCTGTGGATACTGAAGCATACAAAAAACAGTCGAGATTTCTGTCCAGTCACCAGCAGGAAAATGCAAAGTTGGATATCACAGCCTAAGCTCAACCGTGAGGGACACACTGAAAAGGAAATCCGTCCTAACCCCAAGGTCCAGGGCTCTTTAAGAGCCTCGGAACCAGAAAGAAAAGCGAGACCCGGGCAAAAATCAGATCAAAGCGTATGCAAATAAGGAACAGGGGCTGTTGGGAAACAGCACCGCTGTTAGCCTCTAGGGAAAGCGGGCGTCGGTCAGAGTTCTACTGCGCCTGCTCACTCCCGGCTGTTCTTTTCGTCCGGCGCCTGCGCGAGGCACAACACAAACCTACGCCGGCCCAAACTTGCCTACTGTACGGAGGCGTTCTGCTTTAAGTCCACCGCCTCCTTTCCTGGCGCTTGCGCTCTATCGCTCTCCGAGTCTAGCTCTCCCTTTTACGTCAGTTCCTGTTGTGGCGGGAGAAGGCGGTATTTCCGGCCAGTGGGTGGGACGGGGCGGTAAGCGGGGGCTGGGGGAGGGGGCGGGGGGGCCGCGCCGCGCGAGCCGTTGGGCCTGGCTCGGAGAAGGCGTTGCCGCCGCCGCCGCCGCCGCCACTGCTGCCACTGCCACCAGGAAACACAGGAGCGGGACCAAGCGCAGCGTGGTGATGGGCGGGAGTAGAGCCCCGCCGGAGAGGCTGGGCGGCTGCCGGTGACAGGTGAGCGCGCCAGTGCGTGTCCCCGAACGCCCTCCCGCCCCCGCGGTGGTCGCGTCGGGACCCCCCGCAGTGCCGCGCTGGGCCGTACCACCAGTGCCTGCCGGGCGGGGGCCGCGGTCCTCGAAACCCCCCCTTCCGGGAATGAGTCGGGGTGGCTGCGCGGGGGCGGTGGTTCTAGCCCTGAGGGTCCGGGGGCGGGGGCGGTGGGTTGCACCACTGAAGCGGTCTGGGGGGCGCCTACCAAAGTGCGAGGACCGAACCACTGAAGAGCTAGGGGCACGAACCCTAGCATGTGCGGGCTTGGAGTTGAACTCGTGGGCCGTAAAGTGAGAGTGTGCTTGGTGGGCGAGCGCTAAGCCATTAAAGGGGCGCGCCTCGCCTAATGTAGGAGGCTGTGCCTATTCGGGGCCGTGGGAGTAGTTCCTAAAACACGTTGAGAGAGGTGGAAGCTTTGTGGGGAGGGAGCTGTACGCCAAGTGTGGTTCGGATAGCGCAGTCTGGGTTATACCACTGAGGCGCTGGGGGGAGCCATCCCCGGAACGTAGAGAACGCTACATGAAAGTAGGAGGGCTGTGATGTTTATGATCTTTGAGGGACAGGGCAGGCCGAAGACGACGTTCAGGGGAGTATTTTAGGAGGACTGTAATACTAGGGATTCCGAGGGGTATCTGCCTGCTGTGTTTGGTGGGTGGGGCTTGGGGTTTACACTGAGATGGAGGGAGGATCATCCTTTATTGAACTTAATAACTTTGGGGGGAGGGGACTGGATGGACACTAGACTGCTGCCTACCCCACAAGCCTTTCCTATTATTACACTTTATTTTAAAGTGTGTGGGACAGACACCTCTGTGGCAAGTTCTTTCTTTCCATAGGGTGTGGGGAGATGTCTTAAAGGCCGCTATTTGAAGTTTTCTGAGCATTTGACTCCATTTAGGGAGAAGAGATATTGAACTTTGATTTAGGGAGCTGTGCTCCTGGACCTGCTTAAGACTTTGGAGGAAGGAGTGCTTGGTGGGACACCCCTCCCAGGGCAGAGTGGCTGGGGACATCTTGATCCTTAGGATTCTGAGGTCCCCCTTCCTCTTAATTTGGAGGCCACTTGGGCTCAGTAAGAGGCCTGAACTGGAGTAATTACGTCCTCCATGCGCTGCCATTCAGTGCCCCCCCCCCCCCCCGTCTCAGACAAGCATGGGGAATCCAGTCAGGGCCTGTCCTTGGTTGAGGGTGGGTGTGAAGGAGCCAGGCACCACCCACTGCAGACCCCACCACCCAGTGCAGGCCCCTCCACCGTCCATGAGGCTGATTGTGTCCCTGGTTAGCAGTCCAGGCGCCCATCATGTTTACACTCCCCATCAGGCAATAACAGTTGGCCTCACCATTAGGTGGCAGTGGGTGGCAATGAGGCTAAGCACTGTTTTCCCAGCTGTTCCTCTTTGCATAGGCCAGGGGGATTGGGGAGGGAGGTAACCCTGGCCCAGCCTGATCCAGGGAGGAAGACTGCTTTTCTAAAGGGCCTGGGACAATCAAATTCCTCACGGGTCTGGTTTCTCACTGGGCCTGGTGGGTGGGTGCTTGGAGCAGCCCACTCCAGATGGGAAACCACTGCCCCTGCTCTCCCGGCCAGCTTGTGACCTTGGCTTGCCTGGTAACCTTTGCCCTAGATCTGGAGTTCCTGAAGGGCAGGCTCCAGTCCCTGATTGACCCAGCTAACATGGGCTGGTGGTATGGTCAAAAGGAGAGGATGGTTGCTTCTGGTCCATAGCATCAGTTTCCAAGCCTCCTGGCTTCAATGGGTTGTGGTTCCAAGAGACAATGGTCCCTGAGTCTCTTTGAGGCCATAGTGGTTCTGTGGAATTTTTCTCCTCTAGGGGTTTGTTCCTCTGGTTTCTTTCTGCTAGTTTTAGAGGGTTTGCCTCATGGGGTTAACAGCAGCAATAAAAACAATAACCATGAGATTGATGGCTGACATTTATTGAATGCGTTCTCTGTGCCACACACTGTTCAAAATGCTTCATGTGGATTAACTTGCTAAATATATACTAGAACTGTGGGTACTGTTGCGATGCTCCATTTTAAAAGGGGAAACTAAGGCACAAAAAGGCAAATCATTTTCCGAGCTAGTGAATAGCCAGTGTTTATTAAACATTCACCGTATATCAGGCATGTGGCAAGCCTTTTACACGCATAGTCTCATTTAAATTTCAGAATACCCCTGTGGGGTGAGTATTGGTTGCCATTTTATAGACCCCTATCAGATAAGAAGTGTGATATCTGCTTTACAGATAAGGAAACTGGGAAACTGAGATACTTGCTGTGAAGTGAAATGATTTGCCTCAGGTCTCATAGCCAGAAGTGGTAGAGCTGGGATGTGAACCCCTGGCCCCATTTGGCCTCAGAGTAAAACTCTTGGCAACAAGTAACTGGAACAGTGGTTTATTTGCACCCAGAAGTGGATATGGTGTTTCTGTCATTTTGCAGAGTCAGAAATTGAGGCTCAGAGGCGGAATTGCCCCATGTAGGTCGATCGGACCTAGGGGGCCAAGCTGGGGTTTGAATGTCTATCTGCTTATCCCTGGTGTCATGTATCCCTAGCTCACTGCGTCCCAAGCTAGATTGGGTCTCTCTCACCTCAAAGCCCCTGCCCTGGACCCTGCCAGCTGCACCCATGGTCATTTCCCTCTCCTCATCCTCAGAGCCTAGGGCTGTGCTGAGCACCTCTGTCAGCAGCCAGGGCACAGTGTGTGCTGGGGGCTGGGAGGAGATAGAGCACCATGCAGGGGGTGACATGGCTACCAGGGCACCCAGGTAAGAGGTCTCTACGTAAGGATGGTGTAGTGGGCAGCATGCGAGCTCTGGGCTTTCACATTCTGGCTGTGTGACGTTGGGCGACAGTGTTCATTTCTGTGCAGTGGGCTCAGAAAGGCACCCATCTCAGGCTTTTGTGAGGAGTTAATGAGTTAATTCAAGAGAAGCTCCTCAAAGAGTGCCTGGCACTGTGTAAATGCTTAATCAGCAGTCCTGAGAGCAGCAACACCCCACCCTCAGTCATCTCTGACATTCTGCTGTCCAGCCTCCCAGCTCCGCCCAGCCGGGATTCAGGGATCTGGTGTCCTGGTCTCTGACCTCTGTAAAGAGCTTCACTGAAGTGATTCAGAGCACTGGGTTCAAATCCATACCTTTTACTCACTGGGCTGTGTGACCTTGAGCAGGTTCTTCAAGCCTTCTAAGCCTTCTGAGCCCTTTTCATCATCTGTGTTACGGGCTGATGACAATTATCCCCGATAGGTTATTGTGAAGGTGAGATGGGTTAACGTGTGGAAAGCATTTATAACGGGGAAGGCTTAACAGTAAGACTACAGTAAACATTTCTCTCACTGAGCAGTTTCTTAAAAACTGCTCTCACTGTTTTTAAGAAGAGTGCCTGACACATGGTGAGCCTTAGGATATCTTAGCAATTGTAATTCTCATTTATGCTAGGATTTTGAAAGTGTTTTTCGGGTTACAGAGAGAGCCTTATCAGATAACACCAGGAAGAGGACATGGCCAAAATTAGCATCTCTGGTTTCCAGAGGAGAGTTGGGAGTGGGAGGAACATATAGTCAAATAAAAACTGGCAAATGCAGTACCCAGGGCCCATCTTTCTTCCACACAGTTGCTGCCTAGAGCCCCTTTAAGGTCTAAATTCCAGCTCCTTTATAGATGTCAGTCTCTGCTAAATCCTCTTCTTTCCTACATGTGTTTTTAGTGAACCTCCATCACAGCCCCCCAGAGTGGTGGGAATGGCCCTCTTGAAGGCTGCAAGATGGAAGGGTAGGCAGGGAGAGTTGGAGAAGTGCTTGTAGATTTGGGCCAGGCTTTGCAGAGCCTGGCGGGCCTGGTAGAGAAGCGTGGATTTGATCCTGAAGGCATTCCAGAGCTGAGGAGTTTCCATTCATCCATTTATTGAGCCCTTACTGCATGGCTGGCATTGCTTCAGCTGTTTGGGATACATGGGCATGCTTGACCAAGGCCCTACCCCTGTGGAGCCAAGGGAGACAAACCCAAACCTGGGGAATAAATAAGGGACAGGTTAAAGGGAGAGGCTAGGCAGTGAATTAAAATCAGATGTGACTGGTGCTGCTTTAGATGAGTTGTCAGGAAGGCCTCTAAGATGGGTAAGGAGGTTTGAGGAGAGGGCATAGCCTTGGGGTGTGGGGGGGAACCACAGTGCAGGAGTGCCAGTGAGGCCGATTTTGGGGAGGTGCAGGGGCAGGGTGAGTGAAGGACGTAGGAGGGGAGGCCAGGGGCTGGGTCACTCAGAGCCTTGCAGCCCACTCTGAGGAGCAGCTTGGTCAGATTTAGGCTCTTAGCAGGTGCCTTTTGTCATAAGAGAGGTTCTCAGGCTTCTGCTTGGGGCGGGGGTAGATTTTAGAGCCAGTCAGGGAGTTTCACATGCCTCCCACTTCCCCCTTGAGTAGAATCACTGCCTTAGAAATGCTGAAGGCCCGGTTGTTGCCTCCCTCTTCTGTGGTTTTCACACCGTGTTCCCTAGGGCCCATGGCTGTTCCCTTTAGGGACAAATGGGGGGAGGCTCAATGGGCTGCTTTGCTGCCCACCCATCCCTATCCTAAATAGGTGGGCTAATATCAAGTAACGGTGCAGAACAAAGTGACACCTGATAAAAGCCATACTTGCTGATTCTGCCTTCCACTCAGAGAGCTTGTGCCCGAGGGTCCACACCATTCCTGGCACTGCTCTGGAACTTGGAAGACCAGGCCTTGTGTGCCTACCTTCTGCTGGAGATGGGAGCCCAGGAAACAAATCTGTGGTAGGACATGAAGGCACTATCAACGTTATGAAAGTAAGGAGAACAGAGGTCAGGGGAAAGAGAGTGTGAGATATTAGTATGTTTTTATTTTTTCATCTTTTAATATTTTTCTTTATTTTTCTTTGGTATTAGTATGTTTTAGCTGGGATGATCAGGGAGGGCCTCCTGGACGAGGTGACTCATAGGTTGGGAC